ATGAAAAAAATTCTATTTCGTTTACACTGTTAGCTAGCTGTGGACCAGTCTCAAAACAAGCATTTGGACTGAGGTATTAGAGAAATTCTCTGCTTTCTCTTCACTCCCCATGGGCGCTTGACAATGGTTTCATCTGCAGCTGAATAGGGGATGTTTACAAGGTCCAAGCTACACTGGAATTCCATAGAAACTAATGAGGAAGGAATATTTTTATAACACTCCTGTGAAATATTTAATGAGCTCTGAAATGGTGTTGGCAGGCCTCAGAATAGAAAGGTCTAGTTCAAAACTGAACTTTGAAATTTAATAAATGGCACTGGACTGGAGCCCCAAACACTATTTATTTTCAGAGATTGTTTTTATCAGAAAAATGCCCAACCCCTGTAATGCTCTTCCGCTCTAAAAGTCTTTACCCCCACTGTTGCAGCTGCCATGTAATCAATGGCACTTGCCAAGCAACGTGTTCCTAGAGCCCAGATTAACATATTAATACATTTATCTTAATGTAATGAAACTGGATTTGCCTCAGACATAGCCAGCTCTACTCCTCACCTCCAGAAGTTACCCACACTGAAACCAGAATTTGCTATTCTGAGAAGGCAAGGAAGGGCAGAGATATTTTTTTGAGTGGAGGGATGCAGGGGGGTGGAAATCACCTGGCTGCATCAGTAATATATCTAGCTCTTTATTATATTCACATTCCCCCTTCTCATCTCCCATGAAACTGCCTACAGCTGTGTTCTCTCAACCTTTGGTCTGAAAGATATTAAAAAACATTCTGAAAGATTACTACAGTTTTTAAAACGTCACTCCCACATATGTAAGCAAGGAAGGGAATTAGAAAAGTTTAAAATAAAATCATCAGGGTGCCACTGCAGGAGGCAGAACCAGATATTTTAAATGGTTCAGTGATTCTATTCCTTGGAATAAAATACTGGCCAAGAGAGTGTCTAGTTTGGTAAAGTCCCACTGACTTTTTCTACCATGGTAAGGTAAGCCATTGCTGAAAACATAACAAACTGAACTACTTTAATACCCTATGTGAAACACAACCTCCAGCAGGGCCTTTTAAGTCTCAAAGATCCTTACTTTTCACTAGTGGAAAGACTGTAGGAGCCTGAAGAGAGTCTGAAAAGTATTAATGAACTTGGCATCAGAAAGTCAGGTCTTCTGGCAACTCAAAGCCAACAAAATTTTAAGCAGCAAATTCCATACTGACTGCCAACTTTTATTTCATGGGCTGGATCAAGCTCATGTTAAAGTTAGTGGGATTATAGTGTTTCTCCAGCTGACAACCACCTCTGTTTGATACGAGATCAATGGCTCGCAAAGCAAATTTAAATCATTTTAAAAAAATACTGCTCTTTATTTAATGTCTATTACTGTTGGCATAAGTAACAGGTATCAGTCCCTTGGAAGTTAATGACACGCAAAGATATGCCTTTTCACATATTACTTAGTTGCTGCTGTGTCAATCCACAAAGACACGACCATACCATTTCTTACGCAACTACAGTGCTCTATGGTTTGTGGTAGTAAAACACGGAGAAGAGATTGCTTGCTCCTTTAATTTCATTTTTTCCACACTGCTTCTGCTAAAGAAACTAATGTGAGACAATTGACTTAAATTTCCCTCAAATCTCCTCAAAAACACACTGAACACTCGACAATGCCCACTTTTCTATTTTCATCTTCGCAGCTCCATCGGAGAGGACCCTCTATGCATTCAGAGCAACACAATGGAGAATGATTTCCAAAGCATTAACTTGGAGCCATTGAGACTTGGATGTTTTCAAAATGACTCTATTGTGCTCAAAGGATTCTAGACTACCCCAGTTACTCCAGAAGAGAGCCTTTTTCCCTTTCTCAAAATGTCCATTCCTTGAGCCATCCCTGGAGTGCATTGTTGAGGCTGATTCCTTAGTGCAGCAAGTTCCATCAGTCAAAGCTCAACAGATACAAATAATATCAGGATATGGATATAAATTAGTGCGACAGAGCCTAAATAGTTTTGACAGGTTTAGTAAGTATATATAGCAACACAGAATGCTATTCCTGCTGTCAGACATCAGTATGTAGACAGAAGATTGGGGGCACCATGGAAACCCAGTGACATAAGAGTGGTATTGATTGGATAGAAAATGAGGCTGCAATTTAAGCTTAAGGCTGCCAGAGATGCCAAGAATGGAGAATGACCTCCAGCAGTGAATTTTCAGCATAAGCTCCCTGTGAACAAGCTAGTCCAAGAAGGATAAATCAGGGACAAGCTCACCAGGGATATGGCTCAACCAAATGCAGGCTACCCTAAGCAGAAGAGAATCACTCTGTGTATGCGCGCGTTACAGTGACCTAGTTCGTTCAAAGACAGCATTTGAATGGTTTATTATAGAGGCCTGAAACAAAGAGATTTCCTCAATTAAAGTCCTGAAATGAATCCTCTAAATGAAAATGCTTTTGATACACTGATCAGCAAGAGGTTGTAAATATTGAAGCAAAGTGTACATTGTTAAAGACCAGTTCCCACAGAAAACACTGCGGTTGGGAGTGTAGGTAATAAGGGGGCCCAAAGAGAGCAGATTTCATGAGCAATGCCAGCTCCATTGCTAATGCCCTACTCTTACACTAAAACACTTGTTACACCATAACACTTCATAAATCATACCTTCCCTCCCACAAAAGCACATTAAAATAGAGTCGGAGTTAAATAAATGCATTTTCAGAGTTCCTGTAAAGGAGTGGTTTTAACTGTTATCTGATGATTCTGGAACAACCATTCCCAGAATGATCAAGAAGAAACATGGGATGTGTCAGGGAAGTACCTTGCAGGAGCTCTAAGTGCGAGAAGTCAGCTAAGTAATAATATTCACATTAGGGACAGAAAGATGAATCTACACAAAATATCCACCAGTACAGCTGTGACAAGAATATGATAAGCCTCCAAAGTGTCCAAAGTGTCAGTATGGGCGCAGACAAATACAGGCATGTGGCATGTGGCACTGGGATAACAGCACTATGATTTGTGATACTATAGTGAGACCAGCCTTCTGTTGGCAAGGATCTATCAGCCACAGGCTGCATCTCAAATAACTGGTGATAGACATCTGGATAATTGCAAAAAGTCTGTTTTTCTTATGCCACTTCTACATCATAAACAAAGACTTACCATTTGTAAATGAACTATTTCTTGCTGGCTTCTCTCTTTTCCACCCAAGAGCTTACTCTGGTGCACACTACATTCAGTAAATTTCTGTCCTTTGATTTCATCCAAATCTTCATAATAAGGCACCAAACAGTTCAGCTTCGCCTCGAGATAGGAATACATGAAATTCCCGCCTTCCTTCTCTTTACAAAGAATCACTAAATTATGCATCTTTTTTTTTTTTGGGGGGGGGGGGGGTATTCATTTGGCAGTATTCATCACTACAGCAAATTAACCAATTTTGTCACAAATATGCAGGTTTGAGCCACTTCTCTGGATCAAAAGTGCAAGGCTGTTTTTGTTTGGGTTTTTTTTTGGGGGGGTGTTTGTTTTTAATTCTTATTTCTTTGCAGGGAGGAAACAGAAATACACAGGAGGAAAAAAAATAAATTTGCTTTGTAAATCAGATCAAGAAAATGTAAACAACTATTTCTTTATCAAAACTTTTCCTTCCCTTCTCTCTTTCTCTCCATCTCTCCCTTCCCTCCTTTTCCCTAATAGAAGCAGTTACACAGTCTATTTCTTGTCCAAAAAGCTGAACTTTGCTAACAGCTCAAAACCAAATCAAGGCCCAAAAGGGAAACAAGGAACAGACAGAGAGCTCAAGAGTTGATGAGCCACAGGTAAAGTGTTCTTCCGCTGTAATACAAGTCCTTGACAGCAAACAGCATCTAGCTAAAATACCCACCACTGTCCACAGCTACAGGGTTATGTCAGAGAGAAAGATTTAATGCATTTGCAAACATTTCTACAATGCTCCCATGACCCAACTAGCCTCCAGGGTTTACACCCTAAAACCCAGCTTCAGAGTGGATCACCAAGCTAACACACAGCATATGTTCACCGTCGAGGCAAATCACCTGCAGTGTGGAAGACAGAAGGGTGCAATAGCCCGCTAGAACACGCAAAAGGAGCCGGGAGCTCCCAAAGGATGAAGACTACCTTCCCCTTATAAAAAGCTGTACTTTCAAAAAGGAGAAAATGAAGGAGGATATGGAGTTAGTTGGAGACCGTAACACCTTTGCAGAATAATGCGTATGCTCAACAGGAGGAAACTGTGTTTTCACTGTTGTTGGCCCAGATTTTCTCCCAACCTATCCCTCCAGAGATGGAAGACACAAACTAACGACGGCAGTTTTAAATAGATCTATAGGCACTTGCTATATTCGGTTGATCCATCAGAAGTGAACTACGGATAAGAAGACAAAGTCCCAAGAAAAATACCAGTTGAAGTGCTCGGTCCGAGGGTGCAATTTAACCTCATTATCCCGAGGCTCAGCCGGGACATTCCTGGCACGGGGCAGCCGGCATCCACAGGGGGCTTGCCGGCTCTGGTGTCACTCCGCCGCCCTTTTGTCCTTTCGAAAGGGACCAGACCAAGGACTCCTGCCTCCCTTCCCCGCTGCGTCTCCTCCCCCACCACCACCTCCCTCCTCACTACCCTAGCTTTTCAACGGTCCCACTTACCGACCCACCGCCGCTACCGCGCTGCCGGCACCCCCAGACCTCGCACCCCGGCTGCCCCTCGGTCCTCAGGTGTCTCCGGATCCTCAGATGCCCCCAGCCACCCCACCGGGTCCGGGCTCCCACACAACCCCACAGCCCCTGTCCCCGCATCAGCCGGACAGCGAGAAGAAGCAAGGTGGGACGGGGGCTGCGGAGCCCCCTTAGAATAAGCCCCTCGGAGCCGGGCCAGGGAAGCGGTTCCCGCTTCCCACCGTTACCCCGGGGGAGCGAGTGAGCGCGAGGGGCACCACCCCTCGAGCAGACCCCAGGAGCCCCACCGCCCTTTCGGACTTACTTCGGGCGGCAGAAAGCTCTTCTCCCGCAGCTGAGAGGGGTAAGCCGCGGGCGTCCTCGGTGAGCCCCGGCTGCTGTTGCTGCTACCGCCGCCGAAGCGCGTCCCTTCGCCTCCCCACGGACGGGCTCGCCTCGCTGGCCGCCGCCTCAAACCCCGCTCCTCCCGTGCCCCGTCTCTCTCCAGCCGGAGATTTCTCGCCGAGATTTTTATACTGGAGGCAGGGAACCTGATCCGCGCTTTGACTCAGCAGAGCCCGGGCTGCTGCGCGACGGCGAGTGGAGGGAAGCAGGCGGGCTCCGGGACAGAACGAGCGGCCGCGCTGCCCCCTCGTGTGATGCGGATGGGCCGCGCCCGCCGGGCGGGTCACCCGAGGGGCAGCCTCGCCCCCGGCGCCGGGGGCTGGCTGGGGGGGGGCAGGAGGGTGGGAGGGGACGGGACGGGGCTCGGCGATAGCTTCGCGTGCGCCTGCTGCCGAGAGAGGGAGGGATTGAGGGAGGTAGCGAGCAGCTCCGGCTGCGGCTGGACTGGCCCCTGGACCGGTACCGAGCGTCTCAGCCCAGGCAACTTCTCCTCTTCCTCACGGCACCCCCGGGCCACTGAGTGGGTTACCGAGGGCGAGAGGGGCACTTCACGGCCGATGCGGGGGCTCCCCCGGGGGTTCAGCTCTTTTCCGGGCACAAATATCCATAGCTTTTGCTTGGGCAGCCTTTGGCTGTTGGGAGTTTGGGGAGCTTTTAAGTTTAGCCTTGATGGCTTCCAGCTTGCTACTTGAATCATGGTAGTGCTGGGCTGGAAATGCTGCTGGGAGGGAAACCCCCCACGAAAAAAAGAAGATTAGAAAAGAAAAAAGAAAAGAAAACCAACTTTTAATTTCAACTTGGACTAAAAGTGCCATAAGAACAACTTTTGCAATGGCATTCCAACACTCCTGGTTGTAATGGTTGCTGGAGTTAAGGCTTTCATTCAGCAGCAGGCTTTTCCAACTTTTGGGCTCATTACATCCATTGAATAAGAGTGTTTCCCAATCCACAGCTTAATTTAAAGCTAAGTGGACTTGTTCCAAACTCCAGGCAATTTCTGTGTAATTCCCAATCCCCAGGGCAAATCTCTGCCTTGGTGTGGAAGAGTGGGCCCATTGACTGCTTGGGTCTCAGCTGGGTTTGTAGCTCCAGCTCCAGGTTTACACATAAATCCATTTCAGATTCTTCTCCTGTTTCCTGAGGAATGAGCTAAAAAAGTAATTTGTCTGGCATTGTACACATTGCATCATCTAACACCTAACATCTGTGACAATGAAAAGCACTGTGCAGCTAGTCCCAGAGTGGGCAATTGCACCCACCTGGAGTCTTTCTTAGTAAACTACTCCCTTCCATCCACACCTTGGCATCTTCTTTTCATCACACAGTTATGTGTTTAGTCCTGGCATGGCTGTTCAGGATTTGCACCACTGGCAGGTTTAATGACAAGTGATGTAATTTAAAACAACAACTTTGATTTGCAGTGTAAAGTGAGGGCTTGAGATGGAGAGAATATCCTTTCCAGCAGCTGGACGAGTGGAAATGAACACTCAATAGTAAACGTCGTCTTCGTGTTTCAGAGTGTGCAAAGCTGAATGGGCCCTTGATAGCTAGGTTGCACCTTCCTGAGGGCTTCTCAATATAATGCTAGTATCACAGTTCTAAGCACCACAAACATCTAGAGAAAGACATTTTCCGTCAAAAAATACCTGGTCGTGGTTGACACTTAAAGCCCTCAGAGCTTCTCTATAACAGCCACAATAGCACATTTCGAATGTTCCGTCATGTCTAAATAACAAAGAAGTAGGGAAGAGGACAAAGGCTGATCTCTAAATTCACCTTGATTGAAACCAAAACAGGTTGCACCAAAGTGGGTCAAGAGATCTCTTCCTTTCCTGACAGAAATCTGAATCATAGCTAAAACAACAAAAATCAGATTTTCAGTTTTCCAGAAAACAGTGGGAACTTTCTGCAGAAAGAAACGGCTTTTTACAAAGATGCACATGATATTAGAAGCCTTATTCATCCACTAGATTTTAGAAGCAATGTCAACAGTCTTTGACCAAATTTACTCACAGCTTTTATCCATACCTACTTTTTCTAAAACCAATTTCCTGAAACTGTATTTACATACACAGAACTACTTTTATTGATACGACTTGGGTTTTGATGCAGAAAGTTCAAAACAAAACTGTAGACGAGGTTAATATGGCTGTTTAGAGGGCAGATTATGGTCTGAAGCACCTATAACTGGAGAAGAAAGTATATCAGATTTCAATTGCCAAAAATTGTGTTGTAATGTTAATATTATCTGTCTTAATGGAACCTTGAGGCTTAACGTGAGGTTTCCATTACAGTAAGCACTGTATAAATACTGAAAAATATTCCTTGCCCCAAATTGCCTACTGTGTTTGATGCCTTTGATACATTGATATTAACGGAGTATAACACTTGAATTTCTTGACTGAACCTTTGCTATTGAGATAGAACTCATAAAGACATAGAAGCAGGTGAGACTGTGAATGAAGCAATCTTGGGAGGACCAATGTAATTTATGTTGACAAAAAAGAGTCATCAACCACTGCCTTAAATGTGCCTATTGTGGTGGTTCCCAATTGGAAAGAATAGGACAGCATGGAGAAAAGGAATAGAAGGAAGATATGCTATGACCATTTACTTGCCACAGGAATTTTTTTAAATATTACATAAATAAATAAAAACACAGTTTTTATTAAAAGAACTATGAAATTGGAGAGGCTTATCTACAGAACCTCTCTGCTGGTTTGTCTCTCCAGTTCTCCAGCCAATGCTTTATTTCCTTTCCTACACGATCTCTGGAACTAAGCCTAATCTACATTTCTTATAACATATAGAAAAATTCATACTGAAAAAATAGGTTTGGACTATTACTTTTCTAGTCTGGACACACAGCTAACTTAGAAAGGAGAATTTGCTTAGGGAGTGCCAGTGACACTTACAACTAAAATTCTCGACATTTGCTTACAGCTGCTGGTTCCACCCTGATCAAGCAAAAATCAAAGGTGAGGAATGGAATGGAATGGACTGGCAGCTGTAGAAGTTCGATTTCTGGTTTCCTGTATCCTCTTTGCTACCTGAAGCAAGTATTGGCAACCTAATGAAAGAGAGAGACAGGGCTGAATTTTCTTTTGAAAAGTTAAGATTAGTACTGTAAGAAGTTATAAAAGGATTTCTGACTAACGCCACATGCAAATGCTCTCATAAACCATCCAAAAATACTAGATCTGATTTAGAATTCTGGTTCAGTCAGTAAATGCTCAAGGCAATCTGGGGGAAAGAACCTCTCACCATTAGATGCAGTTTGTGCCAAAATGCAGAAAGCTGTCCATAATAAATTTCCTGTCAATGAGTTTTGGTTTTCTTTTTCCTTTGAAAAGACCTGAACACCAAATTTTCCCTTTGAAGATGGGTTTTTCAGTACTTTTAGGTAATCATTTCACAAGCATCTGAAGGAGATAGATAGTTACTTGGATCTCAGCAGCTTCTGAAAGGGGTTTGCACTTTTTTCCAAAGACACCCTTGAAAAATTCCAACTCCAAAGCTCAGACTACAAAGACAGAGAACAAGGAATGAGAGAGTTTGCTCCCAAGAAGCACTTCACTGTTTTCAGTCCCACTGCTGAGTAGAATGCTGCTCTACTTTTCAAAAAGCAGCCACCATCCCATGTACACCATTTAAGAGGTCACCTTGAGCTGAGCCTGCTTGTTTGTTTCAGATACATTATAAATACCAATTTCTTTCGCTTGCCCTCCCTAACCATCAGCAACAGCAGCTCCAGGAAGATGCAATGTGATTCTAGAAAAGCAAAGAGAATTCAACGGTAGTTTACAGATTTTTTTCACCTTTTGCTCCATTGTTGTTCCCTAGCCATTTTGCTGCAGACCCTGGCAACTGAGTGCACCTCATCCCCACTCCTGTGGTAAGATCAGATTCCCATTAGAGATCCTGAATTATTTAGTGAATGCATTGAAGATTGAAATCAACTACTTCTGAGCTGTGTACCTTCTCTATCTATCTTTCATTTAAAGTCCACAAAGTGCAGGCATATTGTCACAAAGAATATCAACTGTATAATTAGAGTAGAAAAATCTACAGAGTTAAAAAACGGTAATTCATATCTTGCTCTCTAGTATTAAAATAATCTAGTATATAAAAAGTCAGATTTCCCAGATGTCTGTGGAAGAAGGCAAACAGAGAGCATGAAACCAGAAGAGTTATTTTCTCATGCACATATGCTAAAAACTTAAGATGTTTGAAAACAAGGTCAGTGTCCCAGAACTTGGTCTTAAGCTTCAGTCACCAAACCGTGAACACGTTGTAACTTTACACATTTGACTGCTTCTATTTTGTACAAGGGGATTAAAGCTTCTGTGCTCAAAATTATTCATGTGCATACATCTGCATATTGCAGTTTGAAATCCACAAATATAATGTGACACAGCAGGCCTTTCCAGGTCCTCAGCATTTAAAAGACTGCTGTTCGTACTTTGGCTTTTCTCTCTTCTTTTTCTTTTGTGCTGGCAATCTTGAGAATGGAAGTCTGCCCCATCCAGGATTTCAAGTCTATTGCACTAAAAAAAAAATATGTCTTAGCTATGGTACAAAAATTGCTGCTTTGAGTACATTATTTCTCTTTTCTATATAAACAAACATATTCATTTCACTCTAGTTTTACAGTTTGGGGAGCAGTGTAAAGCAAAACAAAATGGCATTTTATTTTGAAAGGCTGAGCAACAGCTACCATTTCTGCTCTATTTTCTAGAGTTTTGTCATTACCTATTTCTTTGTGAAAATCAAAGCAACATGCAGAAAGAAACAAAATGTTCTTCCTTGAAACAGAACCAGTAAAATTGATGGGTTTATTTGGTTTCAAACTTCTGGCAGAAAATTACTGAACAAATAGAATGCAAGTTTCCTTTTCAATTTCTCTCAGGAAAAACTTGATTTACTAATAGCTATTTTTTCTAAAGACACTACATACCCACATGCCTAATTACTCTATGAAAGGACTAGCATTAAAGGTAGAGAAGATAGTGCTTATAATCCCTCCGAATCAGTTCTTGATACTCAAGACAGTCATCTAGTATCAGTCACAGTACTAAGTAGCACTAGGCACTGAACTGAAATCGTAGTGACAAGACAGCAATAACAGATTTGAGGAACTAGCTACATAGCAGGCAAGTGATTAGAAAATGAAAAGCATTCTCATCTTTTAGCTAGAGCAGAAATATGACATACTACCATTTCCTAGTTCAAAGTAAAATTATGGTAATCACATTTTGAAATACCTAACTAGTACTTTTCATTCTAATGATGCTTATATAATTAAATATTTCTTAGTATACTGCCTTAAGAATAAATTACTACTATTGTGGGGAACAGTCTAAAACCACTATTAATTAATTAATTACTAGTAGTCTAAACTACTATTAAGACAGTCTCTGCATCCACAGTGTGATGCAATCAGCATAACTCTGAGTTGAATGTATGAACAAAGAAATTCCACCTATCAAGATGATGGGGTTTTTTATCAAATTATTAGCTTGACAATTTGTAAAGGGTTCACCTGTGTAATTATAATGATGCTAAACTTCACATTTAAAGAAAAATATAAGTAGTTTTGACAAGTTTTCCTTATGTGCAATAAAATGATGAGGTGTTCTCCTTTAATGCAAATGCAGGACAGCTAAATCGTTGATTATGAATTTTAGTGAAATCACAGCAATAAAAGGAACAATGGGAATATAATATTGACAAGTGATTATCAAACACATTCCAAAATACCATTATTGAGACTTCTTCATAGCTGGCTTTTCCACAGATCTTCAGGTGGTAGTTTACTAGCTAGATACTTTCACAAGAGAATAAAATAAAAGTGAAATTGTATTAAGGTTAAGTAGTACCCTTTCCCTGATATCATTTTTACAAATAACCATGGCAAATGGGAAATTTAGGAGATATATCATGTATAGATATAGACACAGACGCACTAACATAAAGGTCTGTTGTTGGAAACATAGGAACTGGAAGACGAACAGCTACAACCTGCTCATGTGCAATGCCTCATTAGTTAATGTAATGGCCATGATTTTCCCCCATAAGAACAAAATTAGGTACATCTGTTCTTAACTTACTGGCAATTTCTTGCCTGACATTTGAGCCAGTTGCATGGCCTTCGCCATACATCTTTGATGGAAACTCCTGAGGGATGCTGTTGGCTTCAATGTCAGCTTGATCTAGGTTTTCACGCTCAGGAGTTTAACAAAACATGGCATCAACCTTTGCAAACCTAGACCTGGACTGGCTGTCATTAAAAAAAAAAAAAACAAACACCCCAAAAAAAACATGTTAAAAACCCTTTAAAACCTTTTAACATCCACATTAATGATTTCATACTGACGCTGAAGTATGGACACTACTATGGGCAATGCTAGCACTTCTTGCTCAATGATAGGAGTTTCTGCCCAAAGACCTCATTCCCAGCATTATGTGATTGCATTAGACATGCAGTTTTCAATAGCAAGAAGTGAGCAAGCAAATAATGAGGAGAAAGTACTGACTCTTCCACTCCCACTTTTTGATAGGAAAATCTCAGAATAAGAATGTTATAAAGCCATTAAAAAATCCAAAGCTAATAAAAATGTTCAGAATATGTGTTAAACTCTATAACATATACATTATAACACATTAACACATAAAACATATATGAATGTATAAAATATGGAGCATGTCTCATGAGATTTTTTTAATATTTTTTAACTCTTTGAACTGTCAATATAGTAAGAAAGACTTAAGAAAAAAAGCTGTACTTACATTATGTGTTGTTTACTTTTGTTTTCTCCTCCAACACATTCTTCACTTCAGTGGTTCTTGCTTCACATCAGGAATTCGAAGGGGGAAAGTGTCTTCCCATACAGAATAAATTCTGACATGACTCAAACATTCCTAATTTTAGGGTCATTTTAACAAAACCACTATATATATTGATGATAATAGTTTTGTCTATACCATTCATTTTTTAAGTGAAATTATGGAGATTTTAAAAGCAGGAGGATGTGATCAAACATACTTGATTTTACTTTGAAGAACAGGAACAATCAGGGTAACTCTGTACAATCTACAGCTTTTCCTTTTTTTTTTCTTTTGGAATTATTATTTCTATTGAGAAATGAATAAGCAGCAGGGTCTCTGTCTTCTGGGATCCATCAGGAACTTTACTTCTTTCGAAGATCCTGTGTTCTTTTAGTATTATATATTCAATGTTTAAAACAAAGGAACAGAATCCTAGCTAAGTTCTGCAGTCTCTTTCATCCTAATTTTAGTATTAAAGCTAATTGGTGTATGCCATTATTTTTCAAATTATATTAACAGGCTCACAGAACCTAAGAGGATAGATGAACATGTATTTCAATAGGAATATTCCCATTTTTTCAACTTGCTTTTCAATACTATGTGCGATTGCATATACTTAAAGTTCTTCAGAATTGTTTTTGTGTTTGCAAGCTATCCCTTTTCCAATTATCCAGGCTAAACACTAAGGTTTTGCAAAGCAGATCTTTCCAAACAGCTAGATTGCTCTTTTTCCCTCTCTGCATCTCCACCCTCTTCAGTATTCTTCCTACCCTTTCTAAATAACCTGCATCCTTCTCTTTGTCTAAATGATGCTAATATAAGATCCTATTAGTACAGCGTAAATAATGCATATCTAGAAATTGCACCATCCTCAAAGAGTTGAAAGCAGAAACAAGATTTGTGTTAGGAACCACTGTTCACTGCCTAAAGGCAGTATGACTTTTAATGAAATGTTTGCAATATTTAACAAAAATGCTCATGCTCCTGGTATAATTTGCCTATTTACATTTCCTCCATGGTATTTTTTCAGGAGTTAGAAAACATGAGTCTTTAAAAAGGAGTTTGCACGAGTCAACGACCCTGCCCCATTGTTGTCTGAACTCTTTCTTTAGTGACATGTTTTAGATTTTCATTAACTTTTTTGTATGTGTGTGACATCTGTTTTATTTCAGCTGTCTGGAATAGGAAATGAGGAGCACTTTCGTAGTTGGATTGCCTGTCTTTACTCTGGCATCTACAGGTACCATTCATTTTCCAACTGAAAGACTGGTTTGGAATGTTGTAAAATGATATTCCCTTTATGTCTCAAATTGTTCCTACAGTGTTGGTCAGAAAAATGAGAAACACCTAATTTTGAAACATAGTTATAGGACCAGGTCACAAGTGTAATTCAATGCTCTTTATATGGTGTTTTTTCCCTGGTTGTTCTGATGATGAAAGAAGTGCTGGGAATTTATGAACTTTTTTAGCATGCATGGGTTTTCTTATTCATGAAATTGAAAAGTGAAGATGGGAAAGGTCCCTGCAAACTGATACACTACCTGATGTGGCCAGGAAAAAGTCATCATTCATGGAGTCCAGGTTTATTAACAGGGATAATATTTTTATTCAATCCTATATGAAACCTCACAGCTGGATTTTCCCCCACAGCCTGTCTAATACTCAGATTCATTCTGTAAAGAATGCCCAAATCAGACTGTAGGCAAACACGCATTCAAAAACCTCTCACTGTGGCACCTATTCTCACCTATGATTTTCCCCAGTGACATAGTAAGCCAGCTGCATGAGTGAGCCAGAAAAATTTAGCACTTTGTTAAAAGAATTGTTCTAGGAAAGAGGTTTAAGGCAAATATTTCTGAACCCAAAATAAACAACCCAAAACCAACCCACAACAGGTAAATCCATTGGAATTTACACCTTCACAGGCTGCAATCACAGTGTGTTCAGAAAACTTTACGATCACAAGTACATGGATTCACTGAACATCAAGATGTCACGAAACTGTAACTGATTCGAGCTCTCCTTTGATTACCACTTTTCAAAATTCAAATCTTACCCACAACGATTATTGAACAGAATTTGAGGAAAGCCAACAATACCATTTTAACATTCAGGTGCTTTGGTGTTCGGGACAGTTGAGAAGAGGAAGAACATTGAGTCTGGAACGACTTCAGAATGCAGATTGCTGTTAAGCTCAGGCTGTCTAAAAAATGAAGACAAATTAAAGAAAATGGAAAGTGATTTCCTGTTCCCTGTGTGCAGAATTACTTGACCAACACTATGAAAACTGTAACATTTGTAACTGTAAAAGTCATTAACCAAATGTCCTCCAGCTTGAAGAGGTTGTTTCCTTTATCTCATCAATACTTTAGACATGAGGGAAGAATGAACTGCTATTTTGAACCACCATTCTTATGTCAAATTTTGCATTATGACTTCTGACAAACACTTGCTTAATTAGCATATAAAGCAGATTAAAATAGTCTCTTTTGCTCAAAGCTAGTTTCTCTATGCTGAAGAAAAGTCTTTCTGGTGGGGTTTTTGTTTTATTTGTTTTTTAAATTAATACTTCAGAGCAACAGCTAAGAACGGGTATATTTATTTCAATGAGTTTGAAAAGCTGAGGTGAATGAAAAAAAGACTATGAACAGTAGCTCTGCCTTAAGTATAATTAGTTTTATGCAGTTATAAATAGCTGTAGCACATTTTCTCTGAGAACGAAAAGCTTCATCAATATTATTGCTTGCTGTAGACTGGTGGTAGAACTGGTGGTGAATAAAAGTTAAATCCAGCATTTACATTTTTTTTAATTGAAAAGTGAAATAAATAATGAGTCTAAGTTCAAGCCCCTGGATGCTAGCTTGCCTCTGTTTATGTGTAGGACGTGAACTGGACACTCTCTGCCACTAGAGTTTCAGCCCATGTATTGTGCTCACCCCAGGCCATGGCAAAGAGCAGTAGCACAGCTTGCTCTTTTGTCTTGTGGCTGCAGCAGACTTCATTAGTCTCCTTTATATCATGACTATGCAAGAAAATGATGACAAGAAAATGACTGAAAGACAGTGGTGGTTGAAGCCTGATTCAGATTGCTGAACTGTATCTACAACATGACACCTGCATAGGAATCTACACCTCCTACCTTTGTGGCAGGAAGATGAGGAATGAATAACCTGTTTGTGTGGAAATTATATTTTCTCTTTCCAGTCAAGCACGCTGCTTTTCTATGGCCATATTTATGTAAGCATGAACACAGCTGTACCCTGGAGCAGATCATTTTTTAACTGTTACACTTAGTTCACACTGAGATAAAACCATTTTCTTGTTGTTGTTGGCCAGTATGCTGGTATTTGAACTTGTTGGGTAAGCAACTCTGTCTTATTCTATGGACTAACAGAGGACATAAGGCTTAGATGGTGCTCTGTAGTGCTTTTCAACACTGTGCTTGCTTTAGAAGGGACAAAAGAAAAACAAAAGAGAAAACATTTCCATGGCTATTGTTTTAGTGGCTCAGAATCAGACTTTTGCCTAATGTCACGTGTATCCATGGAAAAAATGTGGTAAGGCTACAGGCTGTTGCCTCCTTCTCCTCCCAGTTTCCATTCAGAGGCCCAACAAATTTGAGAACAAACCTGTTTCATATTTTCTGCACAATAGAGATGCAACTTGTAGCTTCAGGGGACAAAAAACCCCAACAACTCCCAGCAAAGTGCATAAGTTCATGAAAAAACTTTCGGCACAAGAGAGACTGCAGAAACTAAAAAATTCAATAGGAGACACACAGCACAATAAAATTTGCCAGATGTGAAGTTAACGTAGTGGGAGCCAGGTGACTTGCAGATCTGTTCTTTTTTTCTAGCAGTTATTTCCTGGGTGCCTTTGAGTAAGTGTAAGAAACCTCCCTTTAGCTGCCTGTAGTGTGTTCAGCCCCTGATTCTACAAGTGACACAGCTTTTGTGTTGCCTCAGATTACCAAACTGGGGGCAATAATAGTCCATTTGTCTATTTGTGTTCCCAGTTCTTTGCAGCAAGTACCTGTTCCTTTCTTTTTGTTTGTATATAAACCCAAGGAAAACCTTGATAAGACCTAAATGATGGTCCTAAACACAAGGATCTGACCCTGAGCACGCTGGACTAACTTCAAAGTTGAACATGGTTTGAGTGTGGGGCTGGACTGGATGTCCTCACCAACCTAAAATAGCCTATGTTTATATTTCACTGCAATAGAAATTCAGTACGTGTTTTAATAAGCAGATAAGTTTGTCATGAAAATCTGCACATTGGCAAACCACAGCTTTAGGATTCAGACAGCCTTCTACAGTTCCTAATGCCTTCTTGTGGGAGGTTACTCATGGTGACTCCCACACCCATCTTGGGTTCAGCAGGCTCATAGATCTGTGTACAGGTGGTGAGCCATATGCCACCTCTCACATAAAACAGGGGTGCAGTTAAGCCTATTTCTGATGTGAGATATCTAGGAACAGCAAAGGCAATTCATGAAGGCAATCAGTGAGAGCTAGCCCCTTTGCCTCCCCAGGATAATTGTGGTAGACTAACTAGAGATTCTCTGACTTCGAAAGGCTTTGAGCAAGTCTCCCAGTGGTGGCAGACTTGGAAATGAGCAAGAAGCCTTAGCCCCTGCAAATAAGATCTGCTGTGTTTAGCAGAAGAGGATGTTGCATACATTGCCTGTGATCAAACAGCCACCAGAGAATATACTGAATTTGTATCATCCATCTCCACTTCCCGTGAAACAATCGATCAAGTGTTGACTAAATGCTGTGGCTGCAGAACCAAAGTGAGCTTTTTGCCATGTGAGTAGAGAAAACATCTCTTGCTGTGTGCCTGAAGGAAGCCCACAGTCACCTGCTTTTGGTTGCTAGCATTGTTTCTGTGATTTAGTGAGGATACATAGCAAAGAGCTGCAAAAAAACTCTCATATTGGTTAGAAATGGAGTGAAGCAGCAGCAAGTAGGTTCAATATGTGTCAGAAAGACAAAAGTGCCAATCTGAGACAATTACAACTAAGCATCACAATCTGGAGGCATAAAGTTCATTTCTAACATCACAAGGCTTCATCTCCCAAAGACACAGGTAGCAGGAAAAGTAGAAAAAACAATTGGCAGTGACCAATTGCACTGATGTTCCTGACTTATTCACCATTCCCAAGTCCTTGGATTCAAGGACTTCATAGAATAATTTAGGTTGGAAAAGACCTTTTAAGATCATCAAGATCAACCACAAACTCAACACTGCCACCACTAAACTACGTTCCCATGCTCCACATACCTCCATGGATGGTGACTCCACATACCTCCAGGGATGGTGACTTCCTTGGCAACTGGTCTCAGTGCTTGACAACCCTTTTGGTGAAGAAATTTTTCCTAATACCCCATCTAAACCTCCCCTGGCACAGCTTGAGGCCATTTCCTCTTGTTTTGTTACCTGGAAGAAAAGATCAACACCCACCACACTGCAACCTCCTTTCTGGTAGTTGTGGAGAGTGGTAAGATCTCCCCTCATCCTCCTTTTGTCCAGACTTAACAACTCCAGTTTCTCCAGCCACATTTTGTAAGACTCTAGACCCTTCAACTTATACATACATACAGTAATTTTTACAGATGTCTTTTTCTGTGGATGACTGAGTTGAGATACTGAAAAAGATTGTAATTTAGAAGGCTTTATGAATCTATCTTCTGGAAAGATTAATATCAGTGTTTGGGGTTTATATATATATATGTATATCAAATCCAGATACTGTATTGCCAACTTTACAAAATCAGAACACAGAAATTACAGAAATTTAAAAAAAAAAAAAAAGAAAAAAGAAATAATAATCTTAAACATGAAAAGTTTGGAGAGCACTCATATTCTAAATCAAAGAGTTTTTCGTAATATTAATTAGACCTTACTCTCTTTCCCACACACATGCAGATGCTTAACTTCTGGCTCTGGATCTGACCTCCTTCATTATCAAAGGGTGAAAGAGAGGCCCAAATGATCTGCAGAGCACTGCAGTGTTGAACTAGGTGGCCCAGGAGAAGGTCTCTTTAGAGATGGACAATACTAGTACAATTCAGCTTTACTGGAAATCCAGTGTAAGAATTTCAGGGTGACTTGTGGAGTCATTCACTTATGCACCTACAGATGTACTGCTCACATGGTTTTGTATTACAGGAAATTTCGAGCTACAAGCTTCAATCTACAAGCCGACTGTTAGTTTACCAGAACATTAATTCTGGTCATGTCTATGAATATAAGCAGAATGTTAGATGGCACGTAACTGAAAACTAAATATATATTAATATGGAAAACCTTAACTGAGAAGAAAGACTAAGGAGAACTTTTAATAGCTGTGTTGCACCAAGAAACTGCTAGTTATCCAATGACCCCTTATTCTGCAATCATTCAACTGGACACAGCTGATTATATCTGCCCTTCTAGCATACATTTGGTAAAAGGGAGAAGGGAAAAACAAGGAAAAAGAGTGAACAGTCACAATAATGACCCCTTATATTTATATGGAGTCTTACATCCCTATATTACCTACTTCAGGGATGATAACGAGACCCATTAGCAAAACGCAGATACTCCTGGAGTATAAATGTATATTCATAAATGGAGTGAGAAAGACCAGAGCTTTTAGAACATCATCAGTTCTGTCAGCAAGAAATTTATGTGATTCATACATGCATTAACAGAAGCAGGCAGGTAATCACACCCCATTTCTCAGAAACACAGTCCTCAGCCTGCTGGCTAATTATGTCAGCAACAAACCCCCCAAATTCTAGACACCAAACACTAGCCTGAATGACAACAGATTTGTTTGACTCATGGCAATTCATGCTGGATGGGGCTTCAGGACCCAAAATACCTTTCAGAACTACCTTTTTAATCTTACTATTTCATTTTTAAATCTCTTCTTCACTCTCATATCACTCATAAATAAAACAACCAACCAACCAGACAACAACAACAAAAATGTATGCACCCTCCACCTTTCATCCAGCAAAACAGAACATCCACCAGAGCTGATCTACACCCACCCTTTGGTGAGAAGCCTCACGCTTTCCTCTAGATTCTGAAGAATGCTGCACCTAAAAACTGAAACCTCTAGAATGGGAGTGAATTACCCTATGCAGTTTCTTGCCAGACCGTTTGGTGCTTTAGTGACAAACGTAGAACAAGTGAAGCCACAGTTAAAAGTTCTTCTGACAGTC